AACCATGGATAGAAAGGGTGCTAACACCTTCCCTTTCTATAACCTACCTCCCGAACCGAGAGCAATCTCTTTAAGAAATTTTTCTGTGCTTTTGTCCTTTCCATTTGGAGAAAATAAAAGACGGTGGCGACTCTTGCTTCCGCGACATTTCGCGAACCAGCGTTAAACAGTCAGTTCCAGATCCACCGATCACACCTCCTGATCCTCAAACTCTTAGGCTCAAATATTGGTTTTCTAGTTATGATTTTATTGTGAAACATATCAAAGGAACTCAAATGTGATTCCTGATTTACTTTCTAGGCCTATGAAACCCATCCAGATCATTACTACCAAGCACACTTTTCCCTTGATTCTCATGGTCAAATCATTGAAAACTCGTGCCTCCAAGACCAAAGACTTTCCTCCAGGAGTAACTGTATCCTCTTCACCCTCACAGCTTAAGCAGTATGCCAGGAATAATCTTTTTTATTATATGAAAAAAATTATAAGGAATAAACTCCCTGACCATACTCCTTATTTCCCAGACACACCATTTCTCCTACCAATTTTAATAAACTCTAATGCTAAATTCACAAAAAACCATTTATGGTATATTTGGTGTGCCACTGCTTTATATTTTATGCCTGTCCTCATACCCACTGAAGCCATGTATGAACACATAAATGGATCCGAAGAACCACAAATCCTTGATTTGGACTACTCTTGAATGGTGCTCTCCGCTAACATGGTGGAGAGATCAATTAAAACCAATCCTAGACGAGGTCAAAGAAAGGGGGTTAGCCTCATAGGCTATTAGCAAATTCAAGACTGTTTTCTTCTTGCACAGGCCCTATCAAACAGATCCTGCCACTAAGTTACTTGGTGGTAAGACTTATGTTCATATATGGGAAACCATTGATGATTATCCTCCAAATATAAAAGTCACAAGAGAATTAATGGAATATGTTAACTTCATCAACCTCCATGAAGCAGACAAGATGAATGCTAACTCCACTTGTATCAGTCATCAAGCTCAGTATAAAAATCGAGAGGTTGGAGAAAGCTCAGTTCAAGCCACACAACAAAAAGCAGATTCCCCAATGGAAGTTGAATTTTCAGAAGGACACATGGAAGAAGTCCATAGAAAAATATCAGACCATGCTTACATGATGGATGACGTGTGGGAAAAAGAGACATCTCGATACGGAGACTGCTTTTCAGAAGAATACTTATCCGATTAGAATATGTATCTAAGTCATGAACCTATCTTTAAAGACTAATTGGACAAGTGTCTCTTATTAATCACAAGCATATTTATAAATAGTTAAGTTTTGTCCTTTTGTGTAATAGTACTACAATAATGTATCCATAAGGGATAAGGGTGTCAGACTTTTGAAAGAAGGCATTAATGATGCCATGTTTGTAAATAGTGTGGATTTGTCTTTTGTGAATCTCCTTGGCTATAAAAGGAGACCTCTTGTAATATTTCAAGTCATAAGCAATAAGAATAAAAACCATCTTGTATGCTTAAGAACAAAATGTTCTAACTCTCTTTTCTTTCTCCCTAAAAGCTTTAGTTATTGTATTCATATCATAATTCCCCATACAGATGCAAGTATGCTCTACACTTGCCTCAACACGAGGATCTTGTGTATCAGAAAACATCTGACCATCAATCCATACTACGGTCCTCACTATTATGGAATGCCAGTTTTAATTGTTAGTCTATGTTATGCCTATGGTTGGTTGTTTAATGACGATACAGTTAGGGCTGGTTTCATAGTATGTGAGACTCCCGGACAGTGTGGTATCAGAGCCTCCACAGAAAGAAGGGGTGCATATGGCATGAATATAATAAATAGAGTAAGTAAGGGAGAAAATATTTAACCATGGCGCTATCACAACAAAACTAATTAAATTTAATAATAATAAATAAATAAAATTAATTAAATTTATCGTAAAAACAAAACTAAATATCAATATTGTATACATTCATATGTTATAATTAAACATTTTAATATATTAAAATTAATTAGAAGAAGATAAAATAATTAGAATTAAAAGAAAAAATAATATAATAAAAAGAGAAAGTAGAATGAAATTATGAGTGAACGAGCGAGAAGTAGAGGAAAAAATGAAAGTTGAAAAAAATATCAAAAACGAATTTGATATTTGATAGTATTTGATTGATGTAAGATGAATTAATTAAGAGATTAAGTTTTTACTATTTTAATCTTTTACAAATGTAAAAGAATCAAACTCACAAGCCAAATCTTATTTCTACCAAGAATCAAACTGGGATAGGTTTACATTCATATTATTTTAATAAATAAAAAAAAAGAATTTAATTGTTATGCACGGTTAGTATAAAAATTTTTACACCAACAATATATTGTAATCATTAAAATATAATATTTTAAAAAAATTAAAGTTAAAGTCAAATTTTTTAAATAAATCAATAGTTGTGATTCATTAACAATGTAAAATTTCTTTATATCATCGGGGTATTTTAATTAATCTATAAAAAAAATAGGTGATTGATAGATGATGTTATTTATCAAATATTAATAATAATAATAATAATAATAATAATAATAATAATAATAATAATAATAATAAATAATAATAATAATAATAATAGTTTTATTTGATATAACATTAAATTAATTATAGACAGCGTGTCCGTCCAATTTAGTTACAGTCAAATATCAACTCATTATTTGATATTAACTGGCATCACATCTTGTAGCAAAGTTTTTATAGCAAATCTATTATTTTTTATAAAAAAATTGATATGGAAACCGAATTTTAAGAGCGTATTTTTTAATGAAAAGGGATTATTTAACACCAATATCAAAGTATTAATTTTGACATTAAATCTTATTCTTTTATTTTTAACAATTTAAAAATTAAAATAAATTTCTTTTAAAAACTCGTGTTTTAGTTTTAAGTGAATGTATCTTAATTTTTAGATTAATAATAATAAAGAAGTAAGATTTAATGTCAAAATTAATATTTTGACATCGGTGTCAAATGATCCCTTCCTATTTTTAAAAAAAGGAATGGATATAGAATAATTAGGTTAGAAAAGAAAAATAAGTGAACTATTTATCATAATTTTTATTTAATCTGAGCAATTAAAGATTTTTTATATTTGATTTGCTCTAATTTCATTCTGGTATAAGCTTTTCAATTAACATATTTAAACAAGGATTAAATAAGTTTTTAGTTTCTCTAGATTACTCAAATTTTGTTTTTAATTTTTCTAAAATTTTCTTTTAAAGAATGATCCGTTTAAAAATTTTAATTTTAATTTTTGGTCCCTCATGACAAAATTGTAGCTAAAATGATCTCTAATTCTGTCGTTAAATAAAAATCCTCGCTAAAACCGTTACTAAAATCGTTACTAAATTGTAAAAATCGTCGTTAAATAGCAGGAGAGATCAAAAGCTAAAATTTAATTTTGGCAAAATATTCATTTTGTCCCTTAACTATACCATTGTCTTCACATTGGTCCCTTTGTTAGAATAATAGCAAATGTGAGTAAGTGGGGAAATAGTCTCACATTGGATAGGAATGTGGAGACTTAAGCATATATAAGTGGGAGAACCCACTCACCTATCACCTTAACATTTTTCCGTGTCATTTTGGTCTCTTAACTTTAAAAAAGTTTCATTTTAGTCATTTTTATCTAATTAACGACGAAAAAACTTTGAAATTTATCGCTAATTAGACAAAAATGACTAAAATCAAATGTTTTGAAAGTTAAGGGACCAAAATGACACGAAAAAAGTTAAGGGATCAATGTAAACTCAAGTTTATAGTTAAGGAACCAAAATGAGTATTTTGCCTTTAATTTTTTAGGAGGACCATTCTTTAAAGAAAAATTTTAGAAAGACTAAAAACGAAGTTTGAGATATTTAGAGGGACCAAAAACTTATTTAACCCTATTTTCAAATGATCTATGTTTATATTAAAAAAAAAATTTAATTTTTTTTTCACCGCCACCTCAACCTCCCAACGCTATTATCGTTGCTGTCACGGTTGCTATTTTTCTTTTTTGCCGTAAATCTCGGATCATATAAATATACATTTTCTGTACATTCTTCATTTTAGGGTTTAAGAATTTCTTCTTCTTTATCTTTAGAGTTTAGGACCTTTTTCTTGATCTTGTTACGTCTACATATTTTTTGAGTATTTCAAGTTTCTTTGCTTCAAGAATACCATACCGATTCTTAGAAGGATTCTTGCATTTTGTCTCTCAAGAAATTTCCCGCAAAAATAAATATAAAAATCGATATGCACCACTCTTAGCACCGTCTACTCGAAGATCCTTACAAGTAAATTTTTAATTGTCATTATTATTATCTTTATTTTTGATTTATTAATCGTTTTCATTTATTATTTTCATTATTATATTTTTTAACCAAAATTAATTATTATTATTATTATTATCATTATTATTTAATTAAATTTTTATCCGATGAAACTTGTTTTTGATTTACGGCATAAATTTAGATTTTTTGTTTTTAGTTTGTTATTAATTGTTTTACTAGTTAGATATAAAAAAAATTATTATTAATTATCTTTTTAGTTTGTTTTTTTTTTCTCGCATAAGTAATGCATTATATATAGTATGATTATTAATGAGGATTCTGTTAATTTGGTTTTGCAGAAGTTCAAGAATCTCATACACAAGAAACTTTCTTCTCTCTTTAGCCAAAGCTAAAGCTGGTAGTTACAGAACACTGAAAGTATCAAAGGAGATTCAGTTTGCAATGTCTTGGTAACAACAAACCTTATTCTCTACATTGTGTTTTTCTTATTATTGGAGCTTTATTTTGTTCATTGATATCTTTATTTACTTATGAATAAGGATTATAAGGTTTCTTAATTTTGTTCACTTAATTATACAGTTTTTGTTGTTTTTCTGTAATAGTTTTTTCTCTTTGGAAGGTGAATAGTCTCTTTTATAATAACAAAAGAGGTTGTTATTATAATTTCCAACTGCAGATTTCAACATGTATCCTCCACCATCTCATGTCTCTAAAACTAGAAGAGTATTGAAAGTTAAATATGATGATCCTGATGCAACAGATTCTTCATCTGATGAAAGAGATAATAGTATTGTGGATCCAACAAAAAGGAAGAGAGTTGTGCTTGAAATTGCATTGCCTAATGTTCCGTGTGACCAAATTGTTGATAATGAATTGAACACGAATAATAAGAGTGTTGGAACACGAATACATGCAGTGAAACAACCATCTTGCAAATACAAAGGTGTTCGGATGAGACAAGGGGGTCGATGGGCAGCAGAAATCCGTAACCCGATTGATGGTACCCGTAATTGGTTGGGAACTTTCGACAGCGCGGAAGATGCTTCTAAAGCTTATCAAGCTAAGAGACTTGAATTTGAAACTATGTATAAGAAGGATTTGAGTAAAAGGAAGATGAATAACAGATTCAAAAAAGTTTCTTTTGCTGAACCTTTGGTTGCTTCTTTGAATGACTCCAAGAGAGACACCTCAATATATTTGTATCTTCGCCTCGATTGGTTAGCCCTGAATTGGTTGAAAGTGTTGAGGTTTCAAATGATGAAACCAATTCCTTAAAACCTTTGGACATAGTGCAAGAACCGAATGTGGTTGCTAGTGATGATACTTCATCACATCTTGAACAGAATGCGGTTGAGAGTAATTTAGAGTTGACTTGATGACTTGAATGATATTCATATTCCATTTGATTTTGATTACTTTGGTATTCAATTTGCGGTTGATCATAAGATTTCTAGTGGGAAAGAACCTCCCAATATACCCAAGCCATAAATTTTGCACCTAAGAGTCAGTATTCTAGAGTAATACTACTAGAACTACAAGTTTTATGTTGTTTGTTGCTACGTTTTTCTTGATTATCATAATGAAATTCATCTTGGAATTTTTTTTGTTACTTATACACAATTATATTTTATGTTTCCTTTTCAAATACTTTGATTTTATTGTTTCTTTGCTTACTTGTTTCTTATACCCTTGCATCATTGATAATTTATGTTAATTTTGAATTGTATAGTTATTTTTTAAATAGTAAGGGCAGAAAAGTAATAATAATTTTATGCGTAATAAATGTTCAAACTGGGCCAAAAAATTGAATATCACACGCTAACTAAGGAGATGAGTTCATATTTTTTTCAAATCACAAATCTGCTGAAAAATGGAGAGAAATATTTGGCTAGTCACAAAGTATGTGAATCATAATTTCCTCCCTAACATATAGAATTTTATTCAATATTATTAAATAATTTTAAATTAACAGTATATTTTAATAAATTTTACTATTATATTATATAATATGTGCATCACAATTTTTTTCTTACGAAATAATTCATATTTTTCATCAAGTTGTTTTATATATTAACTTTAATATTGTTTTTTTCCTATTATTTATTATGTCAAATCTTTATTTAAAATTGTATTATCAATGATTCAACTCGATCAAGTTATATTTTATTCAACTATTAATACCTATAAAATATTCTTGATACTCGATCTTCGTTATCTTCCTATTATCAGAATCAGAGAGCAAATCATTCAATGTTTGTCGACAAAATTTCAACAGTCCAAAAAAATTTTTAATACCTATCAAAAAAATTAAATATCACACAAAATTAATGTATCAAATTAATATGAAATAGATAAAATAAAATAATAAACTTGTCCAAGCTGGAGAAAAAAAAAATAAAAAAAAAGTAAAAAAAAATTTAAAAAAACTTTTAAAAAAATTATAAGATATAAAAAAAATTAAAAATATTCGAATTTCCTTGTGGAATTTAAAAAAATTGAAAAAAAAAACAATATCAAGTGTCACGTATACAGATTTTGATAGAGTCTTGACTTAAGATCAAATTAAAGAAATTTTATTTTATTAAAAGACTAAATAAATTTTTATTTTAAATTCGATAAATCAAAACTTACTATTATTATAAAATAAAATACATTTAACCCATAAAAATATTACATAATTTCTTTTACTATATACAATTTTCTTTTATTTTCACCCCTTAAGTTTGATATGGTGAATGATTATTTTGTCGTATAGTTTGAGTTTTTATTATTATAAGTAAAATCATGGTTTCTTTAATAAAATAAAAAACCATGAGAATCTTCTCTCTCTAACGCGTGTACATTGAAGACGCAGAATCACAGTAACACCATACTTTTTCTTCCTCTCTTAAAGAACACATAACCGAAAATATCTATTGTGTTTTACAAATTTGAACCTGTTTAAACTAACAACAACAAACCTAAGGCTAACCACCACTGTAACAATTCTGTTTCCACCTTTTTTTTCTTCTTTCAAAACATCACCACACAACCTTAAACTTCATTCCTTTAATCCACATAACACATGACATAAACCAAACACAACATGACCCAAAACCTGTATACTAAACTCAATACAACAACAACACTTTAACCACACATAATGTTATAACTCAAATTTATCCATTCTTCGTATGTTTAATAATCTCACTTTAATTTTAATAAATAAAATAACACAATCTCTAAAAAAACATGTGTAATATCAAAAGTAAAACTCTAAGATCTCGTCTTTAAAAATCACGTTTTCTATTTTAGTATATTTTTTCTTTTTATTTGTATTTCTATTTTTTATTCAAAACCACAACAAAATAAAAAAAAATATTTTTTATTAATTTTTGTTTTATTTAAATTAAGAATTTTTAAAAATAACTTTTTATTTTATTTTATGCATTTTTAGTCCAAATAAAATAAAAAATCATTAAAAAAATATATAATGAATTGTTATTTACTCAATTTAAAAAGTTAAATAAGGTTATTTTTAGTATAAAATATCTTGAGAACAATAAATAATTATATTATTTAATAAATAATTAAATATATTAAAATTAAATTGTATCATGTGATTGATTGAAGATATATTATCTATCTTTTTGATGAGAAGATAAATCTTTTTTTTTTATGTTTTTATTGCACTTTATTGTATTTATTTTAAAATATAAAAAATAATAAAAATGTGTTAATTTGATGTCTTAGAGAGTAAGACAAGTTATATTTGATGTGTTTTTTTTCTTCCAGAAAAGTAATTTTAGAATTTGTTTCTTTCTGATTAGTATCAACACTTGATCTTTTTCCTATTTAGTTTAACCTAAATTTTACATTATAAAAAAGAGATATTTTTAACACATTAGGGGAGGACACCCATTGTATAAACCAATTTCCATCCATTTTTCAAATAAAACCCTTGTACATAGATCCATCGAGATGGTAAAAAAAAAAACCACCAACAATTGATTTAAACCTTGTACATTCACTAATTGAGTCAAATCTTTGTATGCACTCACGTCCCATTCAAGTGTGTTCTTCCCGTAAAAGCACCACACCATCTTCACATGTTTCTCATGAAACTAACCTTTAACTTCTATAAAACTCTATTACCAATCCATCATCCTCATCCATCATTTCGTGCACCTTTTTTGTAATCCAACTCTAACCTAATTACTAATGGCCAAAGTGAAACCATGCCAAATCTGTAAGCAAAATTGATTCATAATGATTTTTATTCAAATAGGAGGTTTATATTGTCTATTTTGAGGATTTTATTATTGCCCCGACGGTAGAGATGAGAGTAAAGGTATTTTTTGTTTGGCGTCTCATCTTAAGATGCTACACTTATGTAGTGACGAACGAAAAAATATCATACGGATTGCGATTGAGAATGATTGTGATTTATTTACGGTAATGGAAGAGTATTTGAGGGTAGTTGAGCAATGACTATGTGGAAGATGTATGAGCATTCATGCCATGAATCAGACATATCATCATCATCCTGATGGTCTTGTTCGTGCCACTCATGGAACAGGAGTGGTCAGAAATCACATTGTAGGTATTGTTAAACCATCCACAACTGACTCTGATAACCTTGAAGCAAACGAGGAGCTTGTTTTGGATGCAAGGTTGTTAGAGAGAGTTCTTACCGCACCTATCTTCAATGTGAAGAGTATACCTCTAAGTTGTCACCTTTCTCTCTCTCAAACATTGAAAGATGCTCTTTACAAGGTTGTTGCTGATCTGAGATTAGTAGGTGCATGGGTTTGGTTGTTACTTCTCCCTCGTTGTACATTACAGGTGGTTAAGTCTCAAAATAGGCAGGACCGCAGGTCTGGAAATCGAAAGTCCTTGCAGCAACACCATATTTTAGAGTGTTTAGCTACTTGGAGAGACGTAGATGGTCTTTCTAAGTTAGTTGATAGTGTGTTGGGAAGCTCAGAGCAAGGCAACTCGGATTGTGGGGGTGTTCATACTTAGGAGAAAGATAAGAAGATGAGCTCTAATGTCAAGCAATGCCTCCGCAAAGTTGCAGATGGTCATTTCACAACAGTTGTAAAAGTGTTAAGGTCACCCGGTGTGGCCCCCATATAACGAACATACAATGAAGACTTTGGTACTTCCTGCTCTAATAGTCTAGCAAGCTCTTCAGGTACTTCACAATCTTCCTCACCTTCATTCTCGGTTTGGTAGATCAAATTTTCGAAGTCATAATTGACAGTAGCAGAATTTTTATCAATAGGACCAAAGATGGATGTAGATCTGCAATTTGTTATGTGGATGTGTGTAAGAACACATAGCTATTTTGAAAGAAATAAAGTAAAAGAAAGACAAAGAGCGTAAAATTTGAATGCAAACGTCCAATGATTTATTAAATGAAATATGCGGATGAGAAATGACAATCCTAACAAATGGACCATTGTGCCCCGAGTAAGGCACAAGGCTTAAAGTTATTGTTCAAATTACATAACCAAAACTTGAAAGCAAGAAAACAGAAAATATCATTCACTCCCGACTAAAGGAGATTGGTATAAAGTCTTCAGCTTTCCAATTGTTGAGCCCACTGTCGGTGGTAGGGAAAATCCAATTGTCTATGTCACAGACGCTATCAGCGTCTTCCACAATGTACACATAAGAAACATCATCAATAGAATTAACGTCTTTGTCATGATTAGGCATAGGTGAAGTGATCACATTAGGAGTCTTAAGAGGATCAAATTCAATCTTCGTAGAGTCAATCATATCTTGAATCTTATTTTTCAAAGCCCAACAGTTATTAGTGTCATGTGTGGAACTATTGGAATGATAGACACACCTTGCAATGGGATTGTAACAGGGAGATGAACTATTGGGGTTCTGAGGAGGATCCTTCAGTGTAATCATCTCTGCCTTCAACATGTATTACAATGCTTGAGACAATGACATGTTGATTCTTATGAACTGTCTCCTGGATGCATCCTGCCTATGCTGATTATTCTGTTGTTGTTATTGTTATTGTACTGGCGCAGGATTAGAGATCAAAACTTCCTCCACAGATTGATTGCGGTCATCCTTATTACGACCCTTCTGGTCGTACAAAGCATTGGATTCTTTCTTACCATTGTATGATTTCTTCGCATTCTTCGAAGATGTAGCCACCTGAATTTTTCCACTTCTGATTCCATTCTCAACATGTTCCCCTATCAATATCAATTCTATGAAACCGGATGAAGAACTTCCAAGTAGGTGATTATAGAAAGGACTTGTTAGCG